AACAGAAGTGAGGAGATTGTGGGGTAGGTTGCAAGGAGGGGGGACAGGGTGGATGTGGAGCATGCAGAGATTAATGTAATTCATATGAATCAAAGACTTTAACATCTTAATTACTCATCTTAGGGTCTCAGTGATTATGCCAATTGATCAAAACCATCAGAAAAATGCCTTCTCCAGGGATAACATGGAGCAAGGAGGGAATGGTACATCTTTAAGTGACTGCAACACCTCCATGAACTGGAGCCTGAACAGCGGTGCTGGAGCCCCACGGGAGCCACTCCTGCTGACAATGCCTCTTCCTCAGCAAACATCATAAACCCACTTCTCTCCCTCTGTTGTTCTTTTCTAGACCTTCAGCCTGGGGATCAGATTGAGGAAAATGGTTCCCCTGAAATACCCATTGCTTGAGGTATCAAACTAAAACTCCACTCAGATGAGGTTCTGCACCCTGCAACCTGCTCGTAGCCGTTGTCACCCCAGAGCTGTCGAGGGGGTGCTTGAATGCTGGTCCTGCTGAGACATGTGGAGCAGTTCTTATCCCCAAACCACTGCCATCCCTATGGATCCACTCCTGTGGTAGGAGCACAGAAACAGCCATGGTGCCTCCCCCCAGCCATGTGTTGGGTGGACGGTGAGCCCATAATTAACTGAATTTATGAAAACATATCTGGAAAAGATGGGGGGGGGTGTTTCACTGTTTAGGTACCTTCATTCCTACCACTGTCATTTCAAAATTCCCTTCACCTATATTTCTTTTTCTTTAGCATTCAAACTTGTAAATTCCCAAGGATTCTCCAGCTCTACTACAAAAATTCTACTTTTAGCAGAAGAAATCATCTTATTCCTCCTCCCCCCACCCTGCAACAATTCCTTTTTTTTTTTATTGATGGTAGGCAGAAGTTGTTTTTACAGTGAGCCAAAACTCCATAATTCACACAGTAATTCAAATGGCTGCTATAAAAATAGCCCCATCTTCCCAGTGGATTAAGCTGTCTTGCACACCAGACTAGCCAGTCCGGACTCCTGCCAAATCCTATATTTACATTTCCAAACTAGAATCTGTTTCTAATACATTTTTATGGGGAGTTTTGACCCTTTATATTTATTGTTAATGAGCTTTCATCTCTATAATAGCATTTCATCCCAAAGGATCCTGAAGAGTAATTGCAATAACCTGGCATACAAAATATACACAGAAATCAATTTACCCACCACTGAAATGTGGCCACAACTGGAGGGGCTGGGAGCAAGTGAGTGTTTTGCAGAACCCTGGGCTGCTGCAGCTGCTTCCACCACACAGGGACAGGCAACCTGTGCTGGCCCTGCTCCAGGTGAGATATTGAGAAGATATTTAGTGACTGCAAGGCTTGGGAGCTTGGATTTGGGGGCTGTCCACAGGCCATGGGGAGCTGCACACTGACCCAGCAGAGACATGGCACTGGTGGAGCCCCAGAAACAGCCCCTGCAGGCACCAAGTGCCACCATCACGTTCAGCAGTGGCTGGGAAGCTGCTGGCAAAGCTGGAATTCCTGCTGGAATTGCTCCTCTTCCTCCAGCAAATCCTCCCTCAGATTTGCACTGTGCAACCACTTAAAGCAACCTGCTGGCCTGGACCTGCAGGCTCCAGAGGAGAGCTGGGCTCGCTGTGACCTCGCAGCCCCTCGTGGCATCAGTGTGGCTCTTTGTAGCCCCTGGGACTGCAAAGGGCTGATTCTCCTTGGCCATTTGCAGCTGGCAAACACTGGCCTTCCCCAAGGCCTGCTGATGGAGGAGGGCTGGGGAGCAGTGAGGAAAATGCCACCATCCATCCCCGACTGCCACGGGGCAAACCTCCACACCTTCATTCGTCTAAAACACCACTGCCCACGTGGTGCAAATATTTCATCACTGGCTGCTCAGTTTGCAGCGTTTCCCTTCCTGCTCACCCCAGTGGTGCTCATGCTCTGTGTTATCAGCAAGGGAAGCCACAGGGCAGGTTGTTTCTGCCCCCCCAAGAGCCCTTGGTGGAGGGCCGTGATGCACATCCCACATCCCCAGCAGATGGGTCCTGCTGCAGCAGTGGGATCAGGCTCGGGCAATCCCATCATGTCAGGGCACTGGCCGAGCCAGGATGAACTGTGTAACCTGCTGTTAAGAGGCTTTTCCATGTCCTCTCTCTTTTTCCCAATCATCATCTGGCTGCTGCAGGACAAAAGCCTCTTCAGCACTAATCCTGCCCAGCCTTTCCCTGCGAGGAGCGGGTCAGGCATAACACCACTGCACTTCCCATCCTTCCTGTGCTTACCGTGGATTATTTTCCAGGAGGGAGCAACCCAAGACCTTTCAAATGACTTGTCATCCACCCTCCTGAGTAAAATAACATTCTCAAACAAAAGGATTTTACCTCTTTTGCCCCTCAAAGGGCACCAGTCCAGGTGAGCAGGGGAGCTGAGTGACAGAGACCCCAAACTTTGCTGGGCACTCAGTGTTCCCCGTGGGATCCCTGCAATGCCCCTGCCATTGCTGGCATTTTAAAAAAGCAAAGGCCAAAGAGATGGAAGAAAAGAGCCTTTTCTTCCCCATCTCTTCCTATAAGTCATTTTCCCTGGCCTATTTTACAGGAACTGAAAATCTATTAGAGGAACAGCTTAATCCGGTTTGACTGTAATAATTAGGGTGCTTTAAAATACCCCTGACTAATCGTATAAAATGTGATTGTAGACAGTTCAGTGCATGACCCTTACACTTATCACTGGAAGTATTATTACAAACCAGAAACAGCTGGCAAGCACAGAGGGGGATAAAGGGAATAAAAAAAAATCACATGTAAAGGGACAGGGACTGTTACTTTTCTGATCTGGAATCAGAGGCTCTGGCAGCACCTTGAGCTGTCTTTAGATCCAAAGCCCCAAGTCACCTCCAAAACCCTGTTTTGGCAGTGAGACCCACCAGCCCTGAGGTCCTGTCACTGGTACCTCCCTTCCTCACCCTGTTCTTGCAGGCAGTCCAAGCTGACTGGAATTCCCCTCAAGGCCCTGCAGTCAGCAGAAGTTTGGAGCAACAATTGGTGGCTTTTCCAAAACAAGCTGGTCTGTATCAGTCAAGCAGGATGCAGTGTTTTAGGGTCACTGGGTTACAGCAGAAAAGCAACTCTCGCTTCCATGCCTTGGCTGGTGGCAATCTCGTTTTCTCTTGCTTCCAGTCTTTTTCAGGCTCCAACAGCCATAGTTTCTTCCTTCACTTCCCAAGCCGAGACTGGGGGCAGCTGAGTTCCCACTATGGCATCACCACACCTTTAGTAAAGTTGGGGGTTTTTTCCACATGTTCTGCCGGTCATTCCACAGGACTGCTGCCTGTTCAGGATGCCCTTTCCCCACAAGATGAGCTCTTCCATGTGCTGACACTTCTTGTTCCACCCTTCCTACCACTCCAGTAGGACAAACAAACAGCCCAGGCACCCACCCCTGCATGACTGTCAACTCTTCCAGTCCCAGTGCTCCACAAGCATATTTTGGTAGGGAATTCATACTCTGAGCCCACTGTAGCACTCTAATATAATGGAGAAGATTGCCCAAAGGGACTCCTGCTTCACCAGGGTCAGTCAGAGATGGAGAGGTTGGAGCTGATGGACTTGGCCATCACATAAATGTTGGCCAAAGCACAGGGAAGGCTCTTATTCATCAGTACCACTCAGAGCTGAGCCTGAGCCCTCACCCAGACACCAGCTCACAAAAACACTGTTCTCTAGAGCCCATCAAGAGCTTTAGACTCCACAGAGAGATGACAGCCAGGATGAGTCTGTGCTATCACCAACACGCTGCTTTAATCAGCATTGAAACATATGATCAACTTTGAAGGAGGCTTTTAAAGACTGAAATAATAAGATGATGTACTACAATTCCAATTTTCTCTCTCTCTCTCTGTAACTGTGATTAAAATACATGGTTGATCTTGGAAGCTCTTCTGCAGTTTGTACAGAAACTGTAATAAGAACATTCACAGTGATGAAATTTGCAGCTGGAGTTGAGTTGTTTGGTTTCTTTTGCTCTCCCATGAGTCTTTCTTGGGTCTTTTTTTTTTTTTTTCATTCTGCTCCATACAGATTTTGATCTTTCCCTTATTAAATAGGAATGGTTATCCCCACTGACTCACTTATCTAATAATAGCTAGAACCTTTTAATTCAAATTATTTGATTCCTGGGTTTTTTGGATTAAAGTAAACATACAGTTAGAGTATTACTGGGAAACTGGCAATAGAAGTCCATGGTCAAATTATCCTGTGACTCAATCCTGCAAAGCACTGGATCCTTTTTAATACATTTTACAAGTACTCAGCAGTGACCTCTAACACCAGAGTGATTCCTCTCCTATGGTAGCTCAATTTCACAAATCTGGATACACTTTTTTTTTGGAAGGAAAGCCATCCAAAGGTTTTATAAAATGTTCTTTAGCCTTTGGGAATGAGTCAATTTAATGCCAGGGTATCATTTCATTTTGAAGAGTTGAAGGATTTGAGGAAATACAATCTGCTTTCTGAACCATGTGAGATGAATATAGTTGTGGTTTTGTTATAAACCAAGCTGCAGAGTTTGGATACAGAGCTCAACTCTTCCAAAGTTCAGCCATGGCTCTTTTTCTGCTGGACTTCCCTGCAGTGCTCCTTTTTTTAACAGCCCTTCCTACGGAGCAGCACCAGGACCAAGTGGCAAAAGAGACACTGCTCCCAGGCAAAGTTCCTATCATCCATTGGTTTTAAAATGGGAAAGAAGGGAAGGTCCACTGTAAAGCAAAAAAATCACCAGCAGCAGATCAGCTTCATTACTGTTTTTCTGTTTGCAATTGAAAAATGGGCAGGAACACAGGGAATGAAAATGCCTCAAGAATATGCCTCCTGAAAGCCAGAGTCACCTTTGTTCTGGTGCAAGGGTGCAGCCTCTGCTCAGCACCACACAGACCTCCCACCACCCACCACCTCCCAGCCCAGGGCACGAGGAGCCAAACAAACCTGCTGGAGCCACAGAGACGCTCAGTCACATCTAGCTTTATTTTAATCCCGTCAGAAAAGTTCCAAGAATTACACCAAAAAATACTTCAGTCTCTGCTACCTACTGACAAAAAATACACCACAAAATTATAAACTGTTCAGTGGTTCTGCTGGAGTTTGGGTTGTTGGTGGAGGGGGTGGTTTGTACATTTTGAGTGAGAAATGAATTTACAGGTGGAAAGGGAAGGGAGGAGAGGAGATCAGACGATGGCATTTGGCACTACATTTTTAGCTACACTATACAGTTATTTATCATGATGCCTGTTAGGACTGAGGAGTTCTGCCCTCACACACTGCCTACTGTCTATGTACGTGACAATGAGGACAAAACTGCCCAATGCAGGGGGAAAAGGGGCCAGTTCCTAATTTCCATCCCAGTCTAGCCACAAATCTGAAAAAGCAGCCTTAGTCAAATGTGAACCTATGCACTCTGCTCCTGCTGCTCGGCTCTCCCTGCCTGTGCTCCTGAGGAGCAGAGCTGCTCTGCAGCAAAGGCTTGCAGCTCTGAAAAAAAGAGAATCCTTGGGGTTTCTTAAAATCCCACCAGTCTCCACTAAATTTGTGGGAGATGATGTTTTACACTGTTCAGGACTGGATTAAGCTTGGGATCTGGTCTGTGTTTGCAAGCAGATAGACCCTTGTACTCTGAGAGCTACAGCCACCCCTCTCTAGTGACCTAGAATGACATTAAATGCTGAAGTATCTGAAGCTGAAGGAGGGAAGCAGGAGCATCCCATTTCATGGGTGAGAGAAAATTAGGGGCTGAAAGTCAGAGGCTTAATACTGTTCTATACTATCACCACTTTTGAGAGGCTCCTCAAATCATAATGGCATTTCTTTGTCTCTGGGTAACCCTCAGGAGAGAGGTCCCAAAGGACAAAGCCTCATGGAATTGCCAAAGGTCATGCAGAAAATGTATGCCAGAAGCAGTAGGGCCCTGATCTCCTGACTCTGAGTCCTGTGCTCAAAAGTATGTTCATGATTTCACTGCAGCAGCCTCTGCCTGCTTCCATCCTGCTCCACGTCCAAACAGCAACTTGGATTTCAGCCTCAGAGCCCAGCCAGGATCACCAGCACTGTGGTGGCTCATTAGGAATGCTGAGATCTTTCTGGATTTACTTGGGCCACTGCACAGGGGGGTGGGCACATGTGTGTTTGCACGTGTCTATGTTTGGGGGATGAGGGGATGCCTTATTTCTCTATCAGCGAATGAACACTGACACTAAATTCAATTTGACAGCAAAATATGCCCCCTTTGGCAACTAAACAACATCATAATGTCTTTGTACCGGGTTCTTTCCAACCCCTCTTGAAAGGATTTCAGCTCTTCCTTCACTGCATGTTGAGCCTCTGTCGCAGCTTTCCAGCGATGACAAAACTTTGCACGATTCTCTTTGCTGCTTTTATCCTCTCTGGCTGTTTACCTAATTTGCTTTTTTTGTTTTTTAATTTATTTTTCTAACAAATAGTTAAGCAATGATTTAAAAATATTTTTACATTGTTAAGGTACAGTCAACATCAAACATGCCTTTGTACAAGAGCTCGACTCGGTTACAAATCAACGAGAACAATGCACGAAAAGAAATATCCATTAAGATGACTCCTGCACTTGGGTTTTATTTATTCCTGCCGTGCTGGTGGCACAGCACGCTCAGCTAGAGCAGTATAGACACGGTGTTGTCCCCCCACCCTCCCTCTTTGCCCAACCACCGCTCGTTCCCTTTAATGACCTTCTGTCTTGGCAGCCTTGGCTTCGTGGTTTGCGGATCCCGAGGACATCCAGGGCGATACGGCCCGGGAGCTGGTCTGCTTGGCCATGCTGTAGTGGCTGATGACGGTGTAGAACCTGCCCCGGGAGTTGGAATCCTGTGCAGAGTAGTAGGCGTCCAGCGAGGCCGGGATGCAGCGCTTGTGCTGGGAAGGGGGAGAAAGCAAAAGCAGAGTGACCCCACCGGCCTCTTTCCAAAATCTCCTGGCTGGCTGTTTGCATGGAGGATGTTTGACTCAGACTTGCTGCAGTTGCCTTTCGGTGCCCCTGGGAATGCGCCAAGTCGGGCAGCAGCCTTCAAAACCTGTTGCTATTGGCAACCCTGATGGCAGGCTGGTTTCAGCCCTGGATGGGAAATGGGGGCTGTGTAGTGAAGGTTTGGTGTGTTACTGACAAGCAGAGACTCAGGCCCCTTGCTGGGGGCCAGCCAGGGCTGGCTGAGCAGCTCTGCTCATGTGCTGGACCAAAAGCTCTATAGATTCAAGTCCAGCATTAATCCTCAGACAAGCAGAGAGGACAGGCTGAGGCTGAGCAAGCAGCTTATGAGCTGCTCTGTTGCAGGGTGTTCTCCTGACCTGTGGGACGAGCACCTTGGTCAGGAATGGAAGCAAGCACAGCCCAATGGGCCAGCTTTGCTCAGAAGTGCAGATTTGAATCTGATTCTGAAATTCATGACTGTCCAAACTTCATTTTTATCACAGAACCATAGAATGGTTTGGGTTGGAAGGGACCTTAAAGATCATCCAGTTCCAAACCCCTGCCATGAGCAGGGACACCTCCCACTAGACCAGGTTGCTCCAAGCCCTGTCCAACCTGGCCTTGAACACTTCCAGGGATGGGGCCCTGCTCTCTGTCATTGGGAAGCCATTCCCCCTTATCCTGTCACTACATGCCCCTGTAAATAGTCTCTCTCCATCTTTCTTGTAGGCTCCCTTCAGGTACTGGAAAGCTGCAATTAGGTTACCCCAAAGCCTTTTCTTTTCCAGGCTGAACAATCCCAATTCTCCCTTTTTATATAACTTAAATGAATAATTCACAATGACTAATACACCAACATCTTACTCTATTTTCCAGCCGACAGATCATCCCTGGTGTGGTCAAGACTCCTGTGAGTTTATGAGTTTATTCACAGTGAGGAGTCAGTGAATTATTTTGCAAACTTTTTTTTTTTATCTCAACAGACCAGGCAAATAGTTCTCTGTGAATATTCAATAGAAAATCACTGGGCAGTGGGGTTTTAGCAATTGTTACACGGTTTTGTTCTTGACAGAGGCTTGAAAGCACCTAAAAGTGAACTATATCTGGGCAAATCTGGATTTCTTTCACAAAGGACACATGTGTCAGCACTCCAGGAGTTTGCTTTGCATTAAAATGTATGCCAGTAAACCTCAGCTACTTGAAAGTGTGGGAAGCAAAGGCAGGATTCCAGCTGCAATAAATCCATTCACAAATATGAGGGATTGTTCCTGAACATCTGTCTGTAGTGTTCACCAAATGCTAATCCCAGCAATTACAGTGTAACAGTAGCTGATGGAGGCAGATGCACATCCACATTTCCCATAACACTTTTTCCATTTCAACACGTTCTTGCCAAATGTTCTGTTTGGCCTGGTCAAAAAAAGCAGACTGGACTGTAACCATGTAGTCAATTAGAGTCTGTCATTAGCTCAGGCAATTCATCCATCTGAAGTTTCTTACCTTATAAACAAATCCATCTGGGCAACTGTGGTCGTAAGTAAAGGCTTTGTACACCACAAGAAACACTATGCAGGCAAGGAATGCAAGAGCCAGGCTGATGAGAATAGTGACCTACAAAAGAGGGATAATGTTACTCTACATATGTTAAAATGGCATATGAGCAACCTCATAATTAAATGACTTATAGGAACAGACATTCTAACAGACTGCAGCCTTCACTGCACTGTGCACTACTTAACTAAGCATGGTAATTGAATGAATGCTGGATCCAACAGCCCTGAATTCTCACTTTATTCCCATTCTCTCACACACTTTCAGGATTGCACATTCCTATGTTTAACCCCTTGCAAATGTATGGATTTTGCTGAAGCATTTGTTGTCCTCAGTGGCTTTGTGTTCCCATGCTCTTAGCTGTTGCACCAGTGTCATCATCTGCTGGCCCAACAGGACCCTCCAGCAGCCAGAATTTTCATTTGGGGTCTGGTCTGTGTGGACAAACTGCCTTATAGCCCTGGAAGATCCTGCAGGTAAGCAGAGAGGAGGAATGAGGCCTTTGTAGCACATATCTGTTTTTGCCTTCTGGGTGATTAAACAAAGGCAAATTGTGCCTTGCAGAAGGAAGGGAGGGAGAAAGGGAATCCTTCTCTATTTCTCAAAGCTGTAAAAGGACAATATCCCAACCACCGACAAACCCAGCATGGAAATCTCACAGCATGTCCAAGAGCAGATGCTGGTGTTGGAGGTAGCAGACACAAAACCCACTTTGGGGCTCAAAAATTCCCCCTCTCCTCATTCCCAGCAGGTTACCTCGCTGCACCATTCTGTTTCTTTGCTGTAGCTCCCTTCTCTCCAGCCCTTCCAGCTCCCTCCTAAACAGTTCATTCAACAGCAAGTTTTCTGTCCCTATTCCGTGTCTGGACTAAAGCCTTGACCCTTGATTTTTGCTGAGCTGTGTATTCCCTAAAGACTGAGCAAGGGTCTGTAAAGCACTCACGTTCTTCCCTTCCCCAAAGCCTTCTTGGTCCCATAATTCTGCAAATGCAGCATAAATGGCTCTGGACTTCCAGTGCCTAAATTAGAGGTGGCTGCACCAGCAGCACGGATTTTGCAGGATGTTTTTCCTCCCCACAGGCTCAATCTGTTTCCTTCAGAATCCCACTTTCTCACCATGGCGCCAGAAGCTGAGCCCAGTGCTGCAAATTTTCCCCAGTCTCACCAAAATCCATCCACCAAGAGAACTTCAGTGGTAGGATGTGGCAGGGACTGTGTGCCTGACCCTGGCTAATGCCCCTGCCTGCAGGAATGCTGCCACCATTCCATGTGTGTGCTCATCCCCCAAATCATGCCCCCATTCCAGTATCAGCAGTGACCTGCACTAAAGGCATTGGTATCATTTACTGCCCCAGCAAGGAAAAGCCACACATTTTTCAGCTCCATCCAGTCATTCAGGTTTCATCCACCCTGTTGTTGTTACAGTTATGTTACAATCTTCTGTATTTTCTGGTATGGGTGTTCAAGGTAATTGAATAATAGGTACAGACAGAAGTTGTTCCTTGCCTAAGGTATAGGAGAGATGATGGTAGAAAGTGGGGAAAACACAGTGATAATTCCTACAGGATAGTGGACAGGCTTGACAGGAATAGCAGCTAATAAACAGCAAGCTGGCCACATCTCAGAATTCACCAATATAATGTTATTTTTATAACAATAATATTATGTGATATTGTATCAGTAAATATGAACTAATTGCTTAATATTGGTTCACACTGAAATTTGCTCTAATTCTGCCCCTCGATGATTACAGCAGCTGCAGTGCTGGGAGCAGTGGGATATGCAATCCTGCACGGACTCAAGGGGCCACTGTAATTGCTTGCAGGGCAGGAAAGAGTCTTCTAACCAACCCCACAGAAAGATGAACTGCCTGGTGAGATGTATTCCTACACTGCACACAGCACACTGGGACTATTACTGAAAGGTCCAGGGCTACAATTCTTGTTTTAAGACAAAAAGGAAGAAAGAAGGTAAATCTGTATGCACGGTGTTAAATCTTGCCCATCCTGTCCAGGTCAAAACTCAGGAAAGAGAGAGGTGTGGAGACTCTATCTAGCAGGAGACATTCCTAAGTTCATTGTTAAGTCAGAGTATTATAGTGTAAAAAGGTAAGAAAGGGGCTAACAGGCTTTTCCAATGATGAACAGTTCACTGAAGCCTCAAACTGCCTTTTAGAATTACTGCTTGTATTAACCCCCTCCTTGGGGCCTAATCTGCTGCAAAATGGGTCAATTAAGCAAAAGGCAGCTGCAGAGGGAGAAGCACTTACTGCTGGATCTTGTAAGAGAACATGTGTAAGAGGGTCCTGGAGTGTTGGAGAGGGATCTGGTGGAAAAGGAGTACAGTTGTATGAATTGCACTACTCTGACCAAAAAACTTTGGGATCCACCTCCACTCTATCAATGCCCACATGGTTGAACAGAAATATTTCAGACCAGTTTTATGGTAGTCTTGAGTTCCTAACCTGGGGAAGTCATGTCTCTTTTCATGGTGATAAAGAGGAAGAAGTCCAGGGAAGTGGTGGATTCTCCATCCCTGGAGGTTTTTAAGATGGGACTGGATGTGGCATCAGTGCCATGGGCTGGGAACCACAGCGGGGTTGGATCAAGGGTTGGACTTGATGATCTCGGAGGTCCCTTCCAACCCAGCTGATTCCATGATTCCAAGTCTCAGCTGGATTCAAGGAAGATGGAAATGTAATTTCACGAGTTCTCATCCCCAAAAGAAATAATATTACACCTGAAAAAATTGTTAAAAGTCACTTTGGAAAAGTATAGTCAAAAGAAGACTTTGTGGATTAACAATGCCAGCACTCTCTACTTTTTTTCCAACAGGAGAACTGGAAAAAAAAGGCCCCTCCCTATAAAGAGTCACCACACCCCTGCTCTGGCAGACCAATGTGGAAGAGCACAGCACACATGTCCATCAACTCTTCTCCATTTAAGAGGGGAGTGTGTCAGGCCTGGTACTTCCTCAAATTACAATGCAGGTACCAACACAACGACGACAATGACACGAGTCTCCTCTGAGGTCAGTCTGGAGGCACTGAAGCCAGAAGTACATCTTGTTCTACCAAAGCCAAAGCTCAAGGGCAGCCCTGGCTAGAAATTCAGAAAAAAAAGAAATGCTCAGCTCTCCAGTTTGGCTACTCTGCCCCAAATACAATGTACAACGAAAAAAGAAATGTTGCTTGAAACCCAGCCTTCAGCAGAAGACAGAACTGAGCTGTCTGGAGTGAGAATGAATGTCTGTTCTTTTGTTGAATCCCACGTACATGCACAGCCTATGGAAATGACCATTAGAACTGCATTTCGAGGGGTTCCTTTCTCCTTGTCTGCCCACTGAGTCCCTAAAAATAATAAATTCCCCTCTGTTCTGTCGCTCTGCTCTGGCAAAGTGCTGACATCCAATCCATTCTGTCCCAGGAGCAGGTCCTTCCTTGGAGCCCTCCCCTCCCTCCAGGGTGTAATTGAGCCCATCCTCACCCTCCTCCTGCCTTTCATACACTTGCAAAATTACAGCATGACAATATTACACACGATGATAAATGGTGTAAAATTGCTCTGGATGAAATGTCATGTAAGATGTTAAAACCCAGAGGAAAGGGAAGAAAAATCCACCCTCAGATATTTTGCCATGCCAGAGCTAAGATCCACCTCTCCAGCTATTCCAGAGCATACGAAGCTTCATTAACATTCAAAAACCAAAGAATCACAGAGCTGCAATACCTAATAAACCTCCACTTTTTTTTTTATGATTAACACGAACCTTGGCAGTCTCTAAGCAATATAAACACTCACAGAGGGGAAATAAAATTTAGTGAGCAGATAAAATCTAGAAGTGCTGCAGGCATGAATCTGTCATGTGCCACTGCTCGAGTGGGTAAAGGAAGGGGGGAATTTGCCTGCCCTCTCCTCAAAATCTTACATGATTCCCAAAGGTTCCCTTAAGAGAGGTGTGTCTGCTAGAACAGAGAACATCATTATCACACCAAAAAACTCCCCATACTCCCCAAAATGTGGAGAGAGGCCCTTAACATTCATGAACAATGATGTCAACCTGCCATCAACAGCAGCACACTGGCCTTAGTTCCTCCCCCCTTCCCCACAGATAAAGAACACGTTGCATTATCACAACAGCACGGATGAATAAAAAGATCCATCCTCATCAGGCAACAGGACATCAGTTGCCACTAACTTTTGTGCCAGGGAGATATGTCTAATTGCAGCTAACCTGGCCTTCATGCTGCCCATGGAAGCATCCTTCCTGCTCTCTTTGATTTCATCAACTGCCCAAGATTTTTTTTCATCAAAGATTCCCTTTTTCCCTCTCTCACTACAATACAAAGCCATATTTAAAAGCCAACCAGGCAACAAAGCCACATCCAAACAGCAGGGCATTTATTTAATATCCTTTTCCATTGCAAGGTTTTTACATTTTTATTCCTGATCATAGAATCATTGGGTTGGAAGGGCCCTCAAAGATCATCCAGTTCCAACCCCCTGCCATGGGAAGGGACACCTCCCACTAGACCAGGTTGCTCCAAGCCCTGACCAACCTGGGCTTGGACACCTCCAGGGATGGGGCAGCCACAGCTTCTCCAGGCAACCCAAGCCAGTGTCTCACCACCCTCCCAGGGAGGAATTTTTTCCTAATATCCAATCTATCCCTACTCTCTTTCTTCTTTTTCTCTCAGTTTTGAAGCCACTGCTCTTTGTCCTGTCAGTGCATGTCCCTGTAAAGTCTTTCTCTATTAAGGCTGGAAAGACCTCTGAGATCACCGAGTCCAACCATTAACCAGCACCCCCATGTTCACCACTAAACCATATCCCAAAGTCCTGTTTGAGCACTTCCAGTGTTCACTGCTCTGGCTCTGCCTCTGGGTCACTAAAAATGGTTTCTAAATGAGGTGATCACCTAGTTTGGTACAACTGCAATCCTCATGCTCCCCTGCTAAAGCTCAAACCCGTCCCTGTTTGTACTCAGGTAGCAGCCTTATCCTCTGCTGTGTAAAATTCCTTTGGAAAATCACTGTGCTTACCTTTCTCTGGGGGGAAAAG